CCGCCTTGCCGCCCGGCCTTTGTAAAAGCCATGCCGTGCGCTTCTTCGCTACTCAGCCGGCCCAGGCCCGTAAGGTAAAGCCGAGCCGTGGTGACGATGCCTGTTGGGCCATCTCCTCCTCCCTCGCTCGGGCACAAGCGAGGCGGTTGTGGCCGTGGGCCAGTTCGTTTCCACGGGCTGGCCCAGTAACGTTTAAGTGATTTGATTTCCATTTACTCTTTATTATATGAAATCTAAAATGGTTTGAAAAATGTTTGGGTGCTCAAACTTGCTCCAAATTTGTTGAAACAAATTTTGCTAGGTTCCTTATCATTAGATCTACTTGGGAAATTATTGCATGTCATTTTTGGGATACTTTTCTGTAGGATTTTATTTAATCATGAATATTGCTGATAACTTGAAAAATATGTAGAAAAATCTATAGGCTTCAGAAAAATATGATTCCAAGTTTGTTAATCTTCTTGTGTCATGTAGTTCTTAGGAAAAATATGTTTCATGCATGTGCTATGGGAAAATTTTGAGGTGTAGTTCAAGTACCTTTAATGGCTGATTTTTGTTATTTTTGTTAGAGAGCAAACTTTGTATAAAACATGCATGTGATGATTTTTGTACAGTCATTATATGCTATGAAGAACCTAGAAAAAATATTATTTCTATTGTTTGACACTTTTCACAGTTCAAAGTATTTTCATGTACAAAATCATGCCATAGCTTGTTATTTTTGTGTAGGCTAATCCACTCATTCAAACACCATGAAAATCTGATGGTAGTCTAATTAGAGTAGTACCATGCTACTGTAATTTTCTCAGATTTTTATAAGCACCAAAAATATAGATTGCTGTTGTAGCCCTAATTAAAAAGGAAATAAAATAATCCCCCTTAATACAAGGTTAGTTAATAATAATAGCTTTGGTGTATCTTTGAAGCATTTGATAAGGTGTGTTGACTTAAACATACTAGTAGTAGAAGAGAATGCAGTAGATGACATGTGCTTGTAGTATAGTTTCTTGGATGATGTTGACTACCTTGCATTTAAACATATCCATTGCATTCATCTCCTTCGATGCACCGATTGCATAAGCACTTACGCACATTGCATCATACAGGATCGCAAACCGAGAACCCAGTCGTCATACCCGAGGAGCCAGAGGAGCAGCTCGAGGTGCAGCAGCAGGAAGTGCCAGAAGCCGACGAGGAGGATGTTGAAGAACTTCCGGAGTGCCCCGATCACCGCCCGAGCTCCTTCGAGAGAGGCAAGCCCCGGAGCATTTTTCTCCCGATTTGCAATTATTTAATTAAATACTTTACCTTAAATTAATGCATTACGTTCAGGAGTTGTTTGCAACCGTTGCTGCATTATACCTTGTTTACCTTTGTTATACTATATCCTTGTTACCACAGGTATCCGCAATCAGTCAATGCTTAGTCGGCTTTAGACCGGTAGAAGTCAGGTGATTTCCTGTTACCTGCGAGCTATAGGTGGTTACCTGGATCTGCTTGGATGACTATAAAGTCATGGTATAACTAAGTGTTAAATGAAGTTGAGACCGGACGGAGACTTGCAGAGTTTTGGACTGTAGTGTTTCCGTCTGTGTCGATTAAGGACCGACCGTTGTTGGGCCTCGAGTCATGTTGAACGCATGCCTTACATTTAGTTGGCCGGATAAAGTACCTTCCGACGGCAAAGCTAGAAGATTTTTCGGGCCGAGTAGATTGCCCGCAGCGCACTGTGCCGAAGCAGGTGTGGTAGGACACGGGGGCGGGATGATAAGACCAAAGTGCAGTCGGTCGGCCCCCGGGTACATGTGGTTCTGGCAAACTCGAGATACACGAAAGTTGACTTCGGTGATCAATATCTCACTTTAGCGGGTGAGTGAGATTTGTGTAAGGAATAAATCACCAGCTGGTTAGGAATCGATTCGAATCGCCATCGCTCCTGGATAGTGAGCACTTGACTTGAGTTACTTCATCGTAGTAAATGTTCATGGAACACTTGGACAGTTATAGTGAATATGACAGTATGGAAGTTGTTTAATGATCAGTGGTTATCATTAATTGCTTAATCACATGTTTACTCTAGTATAGATGCAAATCTAGTCGATAAGTTAATAATAATTAAGTTGGCAATAACGCTTTTGGAAAAGTTATGGAAATGCTAAAAATGCTTCTTTTGCAAATGAGTCAGCTACCCTACTATAAAGCCTTCATAATCCTTGGTGTCATTTATTTTCGGTTATGTCGGGTAAGTCTAGCTGAGTACCTTCTCGTACTCAGGGTTTTATTCCCACTTGTTGCAGATGGGCAGATGTATTACGGCTATTGTATCAACTGCCTTTATCCTACGATGGGTGATGTTTAGGACCATGGGCAGGGTCATTCCTTACGTCTCGTCTGATGCTTTTGTTGGAGATGATCATTCGCTGGCACTATATTTAAACTCCGCGTGAGTGTGTGTGTGGTTTGAACAAATGGCTTCCGCTACTTTTCTTCGAACTGGTTTGTAATAACTATGTTTAAACTCTGATGTATTTGAGATTACGAACTTTTATGTAATATGTGATGGTGACCGCTAAGCTTATTACGATCTTGGCTGGGATGGAAGTTGGTTTGAAATCCTTCGCGATTTCATGGACTACCGAGTTATACGGGCTTAAGTTTGCTAAATCGTCTGCTCTGGCGGATGATTTTCTTACTTAATTTCGTATAATTGGTCGGTTCTGTTACATTGCCTTAGCAATTTGTGTTGTTATTTGCCACCTGGGATGATTGCAGTTAGCTTGCAAGATGGTCATAAGTTAGTTTGCAGTTAGCTGAGGCCTGCATTTTTTTGTGCCTATGATGTCAACCATTTTTTTGACTGAGGCTGATACAATTGTGAGATCCTTTTCATGTCTATGAAAATAACAGTGCCATTTTGAGTAATGGATTATGCACACTGATGACCTTGGACTTGTGAGGTACTGGAGCATTGTTTCTTCTATCTTCTACTTATGCTTCTCATGACTGTCATCAAACCATGAGAGACATCCATGCCCAAACAACAGCTGGGCGGTTGTGATGATCTGATGGCTGGGCTGGACGTCTCTCATGGTTTCATGCCTGCCATGATCTTGGTTTTCTACTATCTGTTTGAGGTTTGTTGCTGTCTATGTTTGTTAAGCTCCAAGTTCAAGGTCAAATGAAAAGGCAATTAAATTTAAGGTAAATCGTTTGAACTAACCCTTATCTTATCAACATCTTATACTTGCTTTCATGTGTTTTTAAGGGACACATGGCTTGGTATGTTGTGTACCGTGGCAAGGTTCCTAGGGTATATGCAACCTAGGCTGGATGCAATGTCCAGGTAACTGATTTTAAAAACAACGGTACAAGAGCTTCTCTACCAAAGAAGAGGCAGAAGCATTATACTTGGAGCTTATGGGTTGTGAAGATGACAAAGTTTTTGTCAAGCCTCCACCAAAGGTGGTCAGGAACACACCGGTGTTATTTGTTGTGGTTGTGGTGCAGTCCTTTTTTTTTCGGTGCTCCTGTGGTTCGTTCTTGTTCGTTGCTACAACTGTCTATGATGCTCAAAATGTGCCGTGCAAACTTGTAATGACAATGACCTTATGAGGTACTGTGACCCTAATATTGTTAACTATTATATGTCAGGACTGTTGTATGGTTCAAATTTGTCATTAGATGCTCCAAGGTCATTGTCGATGAAAAGGCACAATGAACTGAGGCAAACAAATCCTCTGTCTTGCTTGTTTTTCTGAGAAGTGTGGTAACATCACCAAAACCATACCTTGGTGCCCAAACCTGTTGCCGTGCGGCAAACCAAACAGAGCTAGGGAGCACAACTTCATACCACTTAACGCTCCATGCTGGCAACCAAACGAGAAGAAAGTCATCCAATACACAAGCGTCAAGTGCAACCAAACACAGGAGGGTGAACGGTGTCAGCTGGGCTAGGAAAAACCTGTATAGGGCCTTTATCCCGGATGACCGAGCTCGGAGCAACCAATCACACCCTATATTCCCATCCCATGGCTCACCGGGGCTTCGTCCTCTTTATCGCCGGCCCTGTTCGCGGAAAGCAAAGATCCACCATCGCAACGAAAGCGCCGCCGGGTTCATTTCAAATCACAACATTGCCGACGAGGCGGCCACCGATCACACGAGAGGGCATCCAAGCATGCTGCTCCACGGCGAAAAGGTGACGAGCAGAAACGTATAGGGGAATGAATGTCTCCGGCAACTCGCCGCTGCACGTCTGTTACCCCCGCGTCGCCTTCTTATCATCATGGAGATGCGTCCCTCTCTTCTCCTGCTAATCCTTTTTTTTCTCTTAGATTAGAATCTCCTTCTTATCTTTAGAGAAATGAAAATGATGTCCCCTAACCTTATTCCCCATCTTGCGACTTCTTTTTATTGACGATGCTGGTAGCTGCAACCTGAGGCCAGAAAAAGGTGCGCGTTCTATTATTCTTTGCACAATAAATATGCTATACGTCGTCGTACTTAATTTTGTTGAAGAACTAGTACGTTGCATAATTGAGACGGGACGGCATGCATGAAAATGGCGTCCACGCACTATTAGTACAAAGTTTAGGTCCTCACCTCACCGGTGACGCCATTTTCTGGATCGGAGGAAAAAAGAAACATGTGCCCAATCCAACAGGGTCAAGCTGCCGACGACATCGACACGACCAACTGTCCAGCTGCGAAGGTCGGACGAAGAAAGCCGCCACGCATCCAAATCCCAATTGTGCACTGCTGCTGCCCCTGCCAAGTGCCAACCTGCCGCTGGGGTCTCCCTGGTCCCCTGTCTCGCGTCGTCTCACTGGCTCACTGCTCGCAGTATAATCACAGAGCCACAGGGATGAACGAGAACGGGATCCCGGGAAGATTCACCCGGGCACCACCTTTTTCCGTTTTCCGTAGCGCACGCGACCGGACCACGAGTATTTTAAGCGCGGGCCGGGGGCGGCGACCGTTTCTCGAGAAGGCCGCGCAAGATGATGCAGGGCGCGGCGGCCGCAGGGACGACCTCTGTCTCCGGAGCCTCTTGGACTCGGGCCACGCGCGGTCGCGCCTCCGCCCTCGCCTCGCGCCACGTCGGCGTCGTCGCCTCCTCGTCGTCCTCCTTCTTCGGGCCCCGCGGCGCCACCGCCGCCACCGCCCCGCCGTTGACGCTCCTGCGCGTCCGCGGCGGCTGCCGGCTCAGGCCTCTGTCGCTGCTGTCCGGTAGCGGCAAGAATGGGGAGGTCGCCAAGGCGGCGGCTGCTGCTGCCGCGGCGGCGGCGGCGGCATCGGTGCCGGCAGACGACGCGAGTGCCGCCGCGGTGACGAGAGACGGTGGCGCCGGCGGCGGCATTGCGGCCACGGCGCAGCTGGGCGCCATGATCGTCGCGTGGTACCTGCTCAACATCTACTTCAACATCTACAACAAGCAGGTATGTCCGGCCCGTTCACCGCAGCATCGATCTCAAGAGTGATCTCCATATCACCTCCCCTCTTCTTCCCCCTGATCGATCAAGACCAACCGGGTCCGTCTCCGTCCCCCCATTGCAGGTTCTCGGCGCGCTGCCGTTGCCGCGGCCGTACACCATCACCGCCTTCCAGCTCGCGTTCGGCTCCCTGCTCATCTTCCTCATGTGGGCGACCAGGCTCCACCCGGCGCCCAAGCTCTCCGCTGCGCAGGTGAGGCCATTCTCTCCGCGACGACTGCGTGCGAAGCGAAGCTGCAATCTCGTTCGTTTCCCCCCTCCGCTTGGTTTGCTGATTCGTAGTACAACTTTTGCTGCTGCAGCTGGGCAAGATCGCGCCGCTGGCCGTGGGGCACATGCTGGGCACGGTGTTCACCAACATGAGCCTGGGCAAGGTCGCCGTCTCCTTTACGCACACCATCAAGGCCTCCGAGCCATTCTTCACCGTCGTCCTCTCCGCCCTCTTCCTCGGCGAGGTTCGCCACCGTCTCACTCGCACCTCCTGAGTCCTGAAAAAGCAAAACGAATTCTCGCCGATTCCGCCGTGAATGGAATCAACAAAAAACAAGAAGAAAACTGGAATCTATGATCAGTTCTCATTCGATGTTTGCTATGCAGGTCCCTTCCCTGCCGGTGCTGGGCTCGCTCGTGCCGATCGTTGGCGGCGTCGCCTTGGCGTCATTCACCGAAGTTTCTTTCAACTGGTCAGTGCTGCCCGCCTGCCCGCCACCTATTTTGCCTACTGTTGGAGAATCTTTGGATCGTACTGTAGTACCGAGCGATTCTTTGCCTTTTTGCTGTTGGGACTCAAATGATTGGAGCAATCTTGACAGTTGACACTGTAATTTTGTCTGCGAATCAGGACCGGGTTTTGGAGCGCCATGGCGTCTAATCTGACCAACCAATCGAGGAACGTCCTCAGCAAGGAACTCCTTGCCGGTGACAAGGTGAATTTTCCTTCATCAGATTAATAGTACCGCCGGTCGGTGAACTATAGTAACAGTAAAAATTGCCTCGTGATGCAGGATGTTATGGATGACATAAATCTCTTCTCGGTGATCACTGTACTGTCATTTCTGCTATCTTGCCCTCTGATGTTCTTCGCCGAAGGCATCAAGTTCACCCCAGGATACCTCCAGAGCACGGTAGGCGTTTCAAAAATCAGACAAGATATGTATACTTCAATAATCAGCTGTGTCATCGCTCTCCAAACAACGAAGTTACCATAATCTTGCTTTGGCATCATGTAGGGCCTTAACCTCCAAGAGCTCTGCGTGAGAGCAGCGCTCGCAGGTCTGTGCTTCCATGGCTACCAGAAGGTGAGGAGATAATCATGTTCTTCATCCCCATGGGATCTTCACCTCTTTCTCTGTCTCCAAAAAGAAAAGCTTGTGTTTGATGCATGGTCTTCCCTTGCAATGGCAGCTCTCGTACTTGATCTTATCCAGAGTGTCACCGGTGACACACTCCGTCGCCAACTGCGTAAAGCGTGTGGTTGTGATCGTCTCCTCCGTTCTGTTCTTCAGCACCCCTATTTCGCCTGTCAATGCACTAGGTAGGTAACTTTGATCAATCCCTCCCCCCCCCCCCCCCCCCAAAAATCATTACTCCTTTTGCATCACTTCAAGCCAAATCATGGTGTCTAATTTTTGCTGTTCTTCCTACAGGAACTGGTGCTGCATTAGCAGGTGTCTTCCTTTACTCTAGGTTGACGCGAACCAAGAAGGCAAAGGATGCATAAGCTAGGATGAAACAGATTACAGTAGTTTGTGAGAAATTACAGGCTTTTGAGGTATAGAGATTAGATCGACATTAGAATCTCAATGAGGATATGCACCAAGCATTGTTTCCACCCAGTTGTACACTTGTACCACAGGGCACAGGCAACAGCTATTTGCAGAGTTGCAAGAATCATGAACGAATATATTCTCGAGTTTCACGAGACATGGACATGTTCTCTAGCCATACTATGGCCTTGTTTAGATGCCATTTAAATTCTAAGTTTTTTCACTCTCTTCGTCACATTAATTTTTAGCCGCTTATATGGAGTATTAAATGTAGGTAAAAACAATAACTAATTACACAGTTTAGTTAAAAATCACGAGATGAATCTTTTGAACCTAGTTAATCCACGATTGGACAATATTTGTCAAATAAGACGAAAATGATACTATTCATCGGATTCAAAAAATTTGCAAAGTGAACCCGGCCTATATGTTTAGAATTAGTCCAAACCACGGCAAACAACTGTCTACGTCATTGTGTGGTGGCCCATGCGACACAAATCAGAAAGACGGTGGCGCATGTGCAGCAGCAGTATGATATATAATATACAATATACAAAGACAAGCGCAACTTCTTGAGATTCCCCCTCCTAAATTTTATTTTAGTCGCTGTTCATCAAATATATAGACAGATTGTATAGAGTATTAAATATAGACTAATTACAATACTAATTACATAATTTACAACTAATTTACAAAACGAATCTTTTAAACCTAATTAATCCATGGTTTGATAATATTTTATAACAGTAAACATATGCTAATGATAGATTAACTAAGCTTAAAATATTCGTCTCGTGAAGTACTGACGGATTATGTAATTTATTTTTTTATTAATATCCAAACACCCCATGCAGCATCCTCTGACGGATTATGTAATTTATTTTTTTATTAATATCCAAACACCCCATGCAGCATCCTCCTAACACATCTTTAGTAGCCGGATCCAAACACCTCCTAAACAAGCCTCTGTCGAGGCCACAAAACTCGCATGAGCAGAGTCACATACGTGCTGGATGATCCTTCAACACATCAACACATGTAATAACGGGCACTCAGTTCAATATAAAACCATGCGTGCGGCATTTACAACAGTCTTCGACATTGTACATAACATTAAACGCAAACATCAGTTGTCCATGGTTTCGTCCAAAATTCATCCCCATGCGTTTGTCTACCCAGGATTGGGTTATAATAGCATTAGGAAGTATACCAGCAAAGTCAAGTTTTAACGCTTTACAACCTACGACCACAGGCATATGGTACGGGGGGAATCAGGCGTCTCCCAGGCGTCAAATCAAGATAGCAGGAGACCATTAGGGATCAGACCATCACCCATATCCTAAGTTAGTGATGTTCCAGGACATCCTTGGATTTAAGCAGGATAAGAAAAGGAAATAATATAACTTGTTAGGGTACCATCTTCTTCTTCTTGGTTTCGTCACCATCGCGGAAATTGGATTGCACCTAGTGGATGCAATCACCAATTAGAAACTCCCACGGGCTTGCCAGGAGGACTCCTGCTCCTAGCACGGAATCCATCATTGCTTGTTTTGCTCTGATCCCTTCCACGTGATCCATAGAACCTGCCAATTGAATGGACGATACAGATGGTTGAGATTCATTCTTCATGGATGCAATCACATTCCATAAAAGATAAGAAACTTAAGAAACCAAGTGATAATAGTTGTTGAAGAACAAGGGAATAGGACAAAAGATGCATTAATATAATTTTGTTTTCATGCTAAGCAAGTTCCATTAGATCAGTACTTCAACAAGACAGACAGCACCAAATGACAACACAAGTTCAGAGATTATATAAACTTCAGAATTTCAAATGACATTGGGTAATTCCAAAGATGGTAAAAATGTTGGCTCAAAGACTAATAAAGTACCTTTCATGAAAACTGAGACCATCCCCAGACTGATTGTTGCTGGAGCTGTATCAAAGATAGCAATTAATCATGTAGCAGGGGCAGCTAAATAATCATCTGGATAGGAAAATTTATACACACCTGGGTGGAAAGCTTGCATTGTCACCCGTCTGATTGTTGCGGCTGCTGTTATCATAGCTGTACTGTGATGGTTCATTACAATGTATAGATGGGCCAAAGACAATGTATAATAGAAATTTTCACCATACCTGCCATGAAAGCTCGTAATATCACCAAACTGATTGCCACTGGAGCTGTTATGGAAGCTGCTAATTGATGACTCGTTAGGGCTGTACTAGGCTAAAAGGAAGCATTCAAACAGAAACTGATACGCACCTCGAGTGAAAGCTTGAACCACCCCCAGCCTGGTCGCCGAAGCTGCTGTTATTGAAGCTATCAGTTGATCTTTTAGCACCATATCCCTGACCACCATAAGAGTCATCAGAAGATGCCCACCGACGTGATCTTCCACCATATCCTCCACGAAGAGCCATTTCTTTTAACTGTGGTGGCACAGATTGGTTTGCACCCTCCAAAATCTTGACAAGGTCCGAAGCGTACTTCGAATCCTGGTCACCGAAGAATGTGTAGGAAGATCCTGTCGCACCAGCCCTACCTGTCCTCCCAATTCTATGGACATAGTCCTCCACACCAGTTGGGAAATCATAGTTAACCACGACCCTGTGAGGAGATTTTGGAAGGATTGTCAGTAGGTTACATTCGAAAATTTGTATGGATTACAAAATATGTGTGTATTCATCATTTTATTATCAGCATTAGAACGACTATGGCACAGTTGCTAATGATTAGAAAGGTAAAAGCCCTCAAAAATTTAGAAGCAACGAAGACACGGTCCTACCTGATGTCCTTTATGTCCAAGCCTCGAGCGGCGACATCGGTGGCTACAAGTACTGGACACCTGCCACTTCGAAAGTCATTCAACACAGAATCCCTCTCAGACTGTGATTTATCACCATGAATAGCAGAAGCACCATACTGCCGTGATAGGTTTCTAGCCAACTGATCACACATCCTCTTAGTGGAACAAAATATTATGATTTTTGATCCAGGATCTTGTGAACGCAAGATCTGATCAAGTCGTCTTGATTTCTCCATATGTGGGATGACTTCCACATGCTGCAGTGTGCAACAAACCACTTCAAAGTATAGAAACAAAGTATCTGGTTTGAAAAGAAAAAAAAAACATTTTTACTCACCTGAGTAATTGACTTATTTGCAACCAGCTGATCAGTGTTTCCAATGTTAACTTGAACTGGATTATTCAGTAAATCCGACGCTATTCTTCTAACCTCTTTTGGCCATGTGGCAGTGTACATAAGAGTTTGCCGTCTAGGTGGTATTTGTTTCACAATTTTCCTTATTTGTGGCTCAAATCCCATATCAAGCATTCGGTCAGCTTCATCAAGGACAAGATAAGATACTTGGCGCAGGCTCACTCTATTCATTTCCAAAATGTCGTTCAATCTCCCAGGAGTTGCGACAACAACGTCGGCACCACGCTCCAACTCTCTTAGCTGAGGGCCTTTTGGAGCACCTCCATATAAGCACTTCAAACAATAAAAAAGTAGATTAACATCCCTGATACAACATATATTAAACGTAAGTGGAGCTTTCATCTGCTCGCATATGAATTCATTAGAATTAACAAATATGGTTAGAGGCGCTAACGTAGTTAATTCATTTAAAAATATGACACATGTTCTAGACTTAGGCAGGTAAAAGCATTAGTAATGATAACAACAGATATAAGAAAATATAAAGCAACATACAGTAGAAGATATTCTTGAAGATCTGCCGAACTTGACTGCTTCATCTTGAATTTGTGTTGCCAATTCCCTGGTTGGAGACAAAATTAATACCGTTGGACCTTCCCTTGAATTATGCTGCAGACGCTTCAGAAGAATAAACCCTGGGAGGAGATAGCCCAATGTTTTTCCTGAACCTGTCTTTGCCACAGCTACTATATCACGGCCCTTTATAGCAATTGGCCATGACTGAGCTTGGATAGGAGTTGGTGCCGAGAATCCTGCTTGCAGAACCTGCAAAAGGTAGATACCCTTCAGAGATGAGTATTATCTAAATACCATATCTGCGTAAGGATAAAAGTTATAATAGTCTATAGCAAAGAGAAAAGGCTTCTCATGATGTGCAATTTTTAGTTACACAGAAGCCAAGCCAAACATCATGCAGCTGGGGACTGAACAAAATAGTGAGCTGTTTCAAACCACAGGAGGCTGTACAAGACAACAAACAGGTCGAACCACGACTTGGATTGTTGACTTGAAGAGCCTGCTGCAAAGAAAACTTGGTTTAATCATGCACACATACAATGGATGCACAATGGCCACTTGGTTCCATCAGAAAGGAATCCAAAAAAGCACATTAATATTGCTACACGTTGTGTAGACCTACCTCCCTTAGAATCTCTAATGGGAAGCCTGTGGACTGAAATGTCATGAATGGCGCAGGTGCCTCATTGCCCTGTTAATAAAAGAAATGGAAAAACTAAGTAACATCTAAATAAATAACAAGAATGATTGATGGTACTCCCTCTATTCCAAATTATAAGACGTTTTGGCTTTTCTAGATACACTGCTTTAACTATATATCTAGACATGGTGTATATCTAAATGCATAGCAAAAGCTATGTATCTCGAAAAGCCAAAACATCTTATAATTTGGGATGGAGGGAGTAAACAAAAAAATAAAAGGAATGGATTAGTTGATCACATACGACAATGGTAATCTCATGCTTAGCACGATATGCTTCTGTAGAAATTTGGCTTCCATTGGCAGCCTGAGAAACTTGATTAGTGGATGGAGCACTTTGTGAAAGGTTCACTCCCGATGCAGAGCGTGGCTGGAAACAAGGTAGCATGCTATGAGTGGAGAAAGAAAAGTACATCTTATGATATGCTGATCATATCTTGACTCTTTGATGCACTATTACTACTACAGTACTATTGTATCTTCCTGATATTTTGAAACAGCAATGTCCAATGAATAACAATATTGTGCATTGCATGTACACGTAACTAGACACATTGTGCATGCAGCTTCAGCAGGTTGCTCCAAAAAAAGTATCTCTCTTGATAAATAGTTGGTTAGCCAAGAAAAAGGTCATCACTATGAACTGAACTCGACTAATTAGGTATTTCCACCTCTGAAATCGACCAGCAGGCAGAGAATATCCTTGCTTCCAACTATACTTTTACTGGCAGCCTTGACGTAAATCACACCATGCAAACAGAAGAGCAAATGCGGGGAAAAATATGACATGTAGCACACGATTGATATAGTGAAGTAAAGAGAGAGAAACAGGGCACCTCCGAGTGATCATTCCTTGCCCTGTTATCCGAGGGAGGCACATACTGCGGGCGACTCACCGCGGCTTCCGACCGCTGCTGAAACACCAAAGACAGACTACTATGAGAATGTAGCAAACATGTGTTCTCTAGAAGAAGAAAAAAGTCCATCTCGCAGACCTCAACCTCGCACAAAGCCACATTTTTGGAATAGGCGTTGTTACCTCGGAAGGTACGCTGCTTCTCGGTCTCTCATCGGGCCTGGAGTAGCCAGGCGGCTGCGACGGGGAGGACGGCACGGCCGCGACGGGGCGCTCGTACTGCGTAACCTTGGTCTCCGGGTTCCAGAAGTACAGGTACCCCGTGCTGCCATCGATGAGCCCCCTCCACGGTTTTGGGAGCGTTGGATCCGGCGGCGCGTAGCGCGGGCCCTTGGACGCCGGCGCGGACGCTGACGACGCCATCCCCCGCGCTTCTCGTATACCCTGCCACACAGTCCACCCAACACGGATCATCAGATCAAAAACGACACAAGCGGGACGAGACGAGGACGAAATGCAATGCGCGCGCGAGGAGGGAGCGGGATCGATTCGCTGAGGGGCCGAAGCGGGCGAACCCTACCGATTGGCGCGGCGGAATGCGCGTGGCGACGTCGGCGGCTGCTGCCGGAGTAGGGGATGGGGCGGAGGCGATTGGGGTTTTCTCGTCACCGAACCCTCCTCCCTCTCTCTCTATCTCCGGTACAGCCGGTCAAGTAGGCGTCGCCGAAAAAGGGGAGCGGAGGCGCCGAGGACAAGTCGCAAGTGTTGTGTGTGTGTGTGAGAATGCGCAGTGGGGTGGGGGTGGGTGGGGGACGACAGCTGGTGGTGGGACCGGCGGAACGCAGAAGGCCGCGCCCGCGCGTCGTTGCCGGGGGCCCAACGCCGATGGCCTTTTGCTGGTTTCGGCCCAGACCACACTTCTCGCCGTGCCCCTTTCGGCCTTTCTTGGCATACCTGTGAACAATGAACGCTTCGCTTTGGCTTTTGGCTCTGGGGAGCCACATGGTGAGTGGTGACGTGCACCTTGCCAGATCCGGTTTCTTCTGCCGACTTGGCATTCACGCACCGTAGTTGTTTTGATGAATGGGTCAATGGGTCATGGCCTGGCTGCTGCTCAATGATTAATGAGGAATTGAGAAGTTCGATTTGAGGAGAGTAACTGCTGATCAGTCCTGTTCCGTTGGAGCCTTAGTAGGTTATTGGCTCACAATAAGGTTGTGCTCACATTAACCATTTTTTCCCTTATCGGCAAGAGAGGTCATTCATCAAAACTGTCACAGCCACTTCACATTACAGAACCAAACGAAATTTAACAGTCCGGAACTGGATCAGTCAAAGGCTGCATCACCACGAACTGGACACTGACATGACTCCTCGTTCCTTAGAATAATCCAACCATCTCGAACCAGCACGCAACTGTCATCGTGTTAACTGTTATGTCAAAGCCTTCTTAATCAATACAAATCACACTTTTTGTCACAACTCAACCTCACACACCTTTCTTTGACAAATTCAACAAAGCCACTATCAGTATCAGGACTTACAAGCGCAGCGCTGTATTCTGCAAGTACAACAGGCCTCCATTGACAAAAACAAGTATGACAGGCCAACTCATCACCTCATCTCAAGCCTACAAACACACCCTATGTCATTCTTTTTTCCCCTCTCTTGAGGAACAAATATGTGTTATCCCAGATATGTTATCCCATGAAATCATTTGCGCTAGTCATACAGCCCCTCCTGCTCCCAGATGTCCACAAGGAAATCCACCATCTCCTGCAATTCATGACCCATGTTTAAGCGTGCATGCCTTGCAAGAAATGCTAGACTGAAATGTGTTAGATCTTACATGAAGAGGAATGGGTTGAGGAAATGGCTTATTTGATCCAAGCAGACTCTCATATGCTGCATTCCAACTGCATATATAAATATGGATTTTTTTAGCACAATTACATAAACCTCCACAATCAATAAGATAGCATTCCTTAAAGCTTCTTGGGGTGGCACAAACGAAATACACCATCAGAAGCAAAATAAGATATTATCGGCTTCAGCATATTATGGGGAATGGAATAAAAACCTAGTATCTATTTGAGCGAAAACAAATTGTACACAAATAAGACTGACTATCCGCTTTCTGATTCAATTAACATCATAGCTGGTTCTCTGCATTATTCTTGTAAAATGAGCAGCTGCCATCAAATTTGATTCAAAGGTACTCTATTTGTTGCTTATGAAAGTTTCCTAGATAATTGCGCTGTAGAACTTCCAAGTCACATAGATATAACCATTTACGGTATGTAGGTCCAAGCTCAATATAGCCTTATCAAATATTATTTTACAATCACTTAATAACTTCCCTGCAATTAAAGTAGGTGTAGAAAGTGGTCCCAACGATGCTAGTGAGGATGATGAGCAAGTTTTATGGAATCGGAGGAAGTGCACAAAGGAACACATTGGGCTTGAGCAACATATAGTGTGCAACATGAATGAATTGATAAACTATACTAACAGCACGCAATTGGAAGAATCAGTAGAAACTGAAACCAGCAAAGCCAATACAACTGATATCGCCTGGATAAAACAGGTCCATCACAATGATTTCAAACTTCAGGAGAACAAAATATGCATCTAAAAATAAACTAAATTTAAAATGAAACTAGTTCTATTTCCGTAAGAATGCAGACAAAATGGTTACTGAAAGCTAAAATGATGGTAGGCAAGCATGGTATTCTGAGGTTTGATCTGAAAAGTTGGTGATCCCAGCACAACCCTTTGCCTTCAATATGAAGCAGGGCCAAAGTGCATTTGGTCAAAGAAAATGTACTTTATAGAATATATACTTGTCTGACAAAAACGTGGTATGGGTAAATTTTTTGGGTTGCGGTCGTCATTTCATTTGCTCATACCTCAACACTGGTTCGCGAACCTGCTTCACCTTCGGCCGTAGACTTCTAATTTCAGTCCACTCCTGCCTAGTCTGTTCCCACAGAATGAGTCCTGCAACAATATTTTGAACTTCAGACAACCATACTAAGGTTGTTCTCAATAGGTACACCAATTTCACATGTTATCCAGCACGAACACCAGAATAACAATCAGCCAACAGTTTGCCTACTCAAAAGTCAAAACTTCTTCACCCATTCTTTTAGGAAAAGAAAAAATGATTAGAAGATATGGCGTTCACCAAAGAACATGGGCACCTTAGCTGATTGAAGGTGTCAAACTCGGGTAGATGGAGAGGTCAAGTAGCCTCCCCACTACCAGGGCACTGCCTTTTCCGCCTACTCAAGTTTCTTATACGCTAATCTAGTAGCAAAATGTACCAGATGTTGTGAAAGATGACAGGACAAAACTGTGGTTTCAAATCTTCGAAATAAATTTCTGATTAAAACCACGGAAAACTAAGGCATGGTAGTATGGTACACCAACTGCAACGATCTTGGTACCGGCAATAGATAAACCCTGACATAGTTCAACATGAAGATTGAGATTTATGCCAAGCGATGGTACTTTTAAGAACAATTTATCAAGCGATGGAAATTTAAAACCACGGAAAAACTAAGACCAACATTCTTTTTCTCAGCTCAGAGAAGCTAGGACAAAATCAAGGTTAAGATTGCAGTAAGGAGGCATTATGCCGATCCAGTGAAAACGCCCTAGTTTAGCAGAACTGAAAACATGATTCAGAGTGACCTACCATTATTACCAAGTCCAGGAAGGTTATGACTGCTACCAGTTCCATGCTGATCAAAGCCAATTAGATGCATTGATTAGAGAAACACCCTGAGATCTGCTGGTTCAACCTCGATGGTGGTTGTGCTCCAAAATGGCTCTCAATTGTTATTTGGTCATGGGTGATTAGGTTTCTGGACAGTTCACCCAGTTGCTTTACAGTCTTATCGCAGCAACCAAAACAGCCTCTGCTCTGTTCGGAAGGAGTTTGATCATGTAGACAATTAGCATAAGTAGATAAAAAAAACAAGTAAAGATACCCAAATATGAAACTGAAACAGATGGCAAACATGCCACAATCTAGAGGCAGACAAGGTCACCTACTCACCTCCGACTTTCGGCAGTGGGTGAAAGACCCAGAGCACACATAGAGTAGACACCTAGGCTAAAGGCTGCAAACTGCAGACATACAGCTAAGCGGTAGTCGCTAAATCTGGTAACGCCACTACCTTGCGCACGCAACGCCTTGAAAAAACGATATGAATTCCAGCACCTACGTCGAACTCGTATACAGATACCCAGCGGAATCAATCACCAACCTAGATGAACCATGGCGCGGACGCCGACCGGAACGCCCTGCCGTCTCGCAACGGCGCGATTCCATATTTCCATCTGTGTCATCACACTCTACAGGCTAGTCAATCTGCCAGCATCGCACCCGGCAGAAGCAGCTGGTTCGCTCGCGGTCGCGGCAGCGCAACCCCTCCTTCCTCTTACGGTTGGTTCGGTCCCAGGCGGCGCAGATCGCACTCGATTGACCAGATGTGGAAAGCTAAGGCGAGCGAGGAAGGGGAGAGAGAGGAGCGTGAGCGAAGCGGACCCACCCGGAGCAGAGGAAGAGGCAGGCGGAGGAGAGGAGCCGCGGGATGGCGCCCCAGTCCCAGCCCTCGCCCAGGTCGACGTCCCCGTCGCCGACCCTCGACGCCGATCCGGCGCCGGCGCCACGGTCGCGCGTGGTCGCCATGCCGCACACGCGCACACGCACACGCGCACACCCCCGCGCCGCACACACCCAACTCGCCGGATTGATTGACTCGGTCGGTCAGGTTCCGTGGTTCGCAACGCGCCTCGCCTGGGTGCGGGCCGCGGGCCGCGGCAGCCAGCGGGGTGGGTAGGCACCGACCCGATCGGACTGGAGCCCAAGAGCGAGCGCGGGCGGGTCCCGTCACGCTCGTACCGTCGCACTTGATTTTTTTTTTTCGGATAATAAGGTAACTAGACTGGGCCTGGTTTAGATTCTAAGGTTTTTCACTCTCTCTCCATCACATCAAATCTTTAGATACATGCATGGAATATTAAATATAAATAAAAATAATAATTAATTATATAGTTTGATTGTAAATTACGAGACGAATTTTTTGAGCCTAGTTAGACCATAATTGAACAATAATTATCAAATACAAACAAAAGTGCTATAGTGTTAAATATTAATTCCTAACGGGCCTAGAAGAGGAGCGGAGAGAATCGGAAATCTGCGCGGACTGCGGTCGTCTTCTCACAGGGCGCCGTGACGTGGCGTGGCTCTTGGACGTCCACCACGGCCTCTCGCGGACGTTGCACGCCGATGCGTCTTCACCGCTAGTCGCTAGAGCTTGCTTCATGTTCTGCCTGTCTCTATTCATGTTCGTTGTGTGTGCGTTTGTTGCCTTCTGGCAATTGCTGTCATTTTGGCCTTTTCAATAAGGTGCTGCATTATTTTTCTAAACTAGATTGGAAATAGCTGTCAGTTTGGTCTAATCCAACCGAAAAAAAATATATATGCTCCGGAGACGACACTAAAATGAAAGGACAAATATCGAGCTCGTCCTCTCGCAAGTCACAAGCATCGATTCTCTCGGTCGGTGACTCATGATCGCAAGGTGGCAGGGACCTCGTCAAGAGACGACAAGGCATGTGATGTAAATCATACTAGCAGGTGACTTCGGTCGCTGCCCTGCTGCCCGCCGTCACCATCACGCAGCCGCCCTGTGCGCCGCCGCCACTCGCAGCGGGCATTATGCTGCAGACTCAATGACCAAGGCAGTTCTGGTCCGGCGGTATAGCTCTGAACATCACTGTATCATGTGTATGGTTTGTCTAATGTATTTGCAGCCAATCGTCCTGTTCGCTTGGCTTATAAGCCGTACTTTTTCAGTCAACGAACATTATTTTTCTCTCACAACAAATCAGCCAACAATACTTTCAGCCATGTCTTATCAGCCAAAAGAACAGGGCAAATAATCTATTTTGTAACATTGTTGGTCGCTTTGTGTGCACACATTTGTGAAGAACAATCATACGGTGCACTTATGTTTTTCCCTATGAATATTTTCTAGATGTTTCCCTATGAATATTTTCTAGAGGTTTATATTGTATCCGCAAGGAACAAATGGATAGCCCGGTCTAAACCCTATCCTAAACTCGCTAAGCTAAATGTATATGTTGATTTTAAGTCGACTGTGGATGACCTAGAATTTCTTTTGATTAGGGTGCACTCAGCAATACTCCCTCCCTTCCAGGCTATAAGACATTTTTGTTTTTCTAAATACATGATTTTTGCTATGTACTTAGATATACGCTATGTCTAGTTACATAATAAAAATAATGTATATCTAGAAAAATCGAAACATCTTATAATTTAGAGCGAGAGGAGTATAAGATACCGTATCCAATCCTGTCTTGATTTTTTCCTCCATCGAGCTCTATATCTCGAGACACCCTAAATATAGCAAGTTTCTTTCCTTACCCATAGTTCTCAGTTAATAACTTGCATCACAGGGTCCTATGCTTTACATGGCTTTGCTTTGCATCGTTGGTAACTTCATCAATTTCAACATTGATCGAAAAAGATTGTATATATAGATCCACATTGATGTACTGTGTGTTGCATCATCACCAGCCAACATTGGACCCACACGGCCACACCATCAACAAACAGAATACCAAGATACCCCTCGTACGCCACCTATAAATACTGCGGCCTTCCCATCTTCCGTTCCTCCTCCTCTGATCACAATTACGACCCCATCAAAAAAAAATCGCACACGATTACCATCCTGCCAGTCACGGCCTTCTTAGGGTGCATGACTTGCATCGACATGCAAATCTCCCCCGCGATGGCAAAGCAGCATACCGGGTTCGGATCAGACCACACGGCAGGGCGGGCAGGCCTATTCCCAACTAAACCCGCGGCGGCGGCGGCAGCGTCCTGGCCTGAGGTCGACGCCGTCGCCACGGCGGCGGAGTGCGTCGACCAGCGGCGCTTCCGTCGGAGGATATCGAACCGAGAGTCCACGCGGCGGTTCCGCGCGCGGAAGCAGCGCCACCTCGACGAGCTCAGGGACAGCGCGGCGCTCCTGGAGCGCGGGAATCGCGACCTGGCGGCGCGTGCGGAGGACGCGCGCGACGGGCTGGCCCTCGCCTTGCTCGCCAACGCCGCGTTGCGCGCCGAGGCCGCCGCGCTGTCCCGTCGGCTCGCGGCCGCCCGCCGCGCCCTCGTCCTCCTCGGCCGTGTGTACGCCGGGGCCGATGCTGTTGCCAGCGTCGACGGCGACTGCTGCCTCGGGTCCACGGACATTGAGATTGAGAAGATGCTTGCCTCGTTGATCGCGTAGGCGTACGAGCTGCCGACGCAGAGCCCAGAGGCCGGCCAGAGCACCTGAATGCAGTGAAGAAGTTGATCCTGAAATCACATGTAGATATTCCAGGCATGCATGCTCACATACAGCTCCTAGCTATAGAAATTTAGGGGCTGTTTGGTTCCTTCCTCTCCTCCTAAAATTCCTGTCACATCGAATATTTGGACACATGTATGGAGTATTAAATATAGACTAATTATGAAACTAATTGCATAACTTACGACTAATTTGCGAGACGAATCTTTTAAGCCTAATTAGTCTATGATTTGACAACGTGGTGCTACAGTAAACATGTGCTAATGATAGATTAATTAGGCTTAAAAATTCGTCTCGAAAATTAGCCTCCATCTATATAATTGATTTTGTAATTAATTTATATTTAATACTCTTTATTAGCCTCTAAATATTTGATGTGACATAAATTTTAGGAGCGCCTAGAGAACCAAACACCCCTTTAAACTCTGTGCTTAAGTTGTTTTTGTTTACATATAGGTTGTGGTCGGAAGCGTCTGCATTGTCTGAAATGTGCGAGTTCACACGGGGAACAAGTCGTAGCGAGTCCACGTCGCACGTGCCACGATCGAGATGTACGTAGTTGTTTGTATTGTACAGAATGCACAGTCAGAAAAGGTGCTGTGGTTCGTGGCACCAAAATCACGGAGTTCATTACGTCCACGATCCAATGTTTTCTCATGACGAGCTCTGCACTGTACGCCGTGTTTCCATTAGGTCTTCGCTAAAATCAAACGAATATATTTATCCCATCAGATTGAAAACAGAACATAATGTGTCTACTAGCCATTGCTGCTCGTGCTTCGCTGCGGATGATGTGCTTGGTATAGGTGGCTCATAAGTCTAATATGTTTTCTCATCGCGTTGGTACGAAAGGTTAGCCTATTTGATACATTAAACGGGTAAATATGGGAAGGAAAGGCATTACAATGTTGTAAACGAGCATAGAGGCTGGTTGTCATTACATGGTGCCTATTGTAGGCCAGCAAATCAATGACATGTTAGTGGAAAGAACTATTTGGTGGAGTTGGGCTCAAGCAACTAAGACACTTAGATTCAAAGCACAACATTGGCTATGATTGCATTATAGGTGGAAAGAGCAAAAACTACAACACAAGTATGTCTCTTAATGTGAGGGTTTACAAAAGAGTGAATTAGGATTCACTCCCCTTAGGCAAAACTACAACACATTTCGTAAATCTGGAATCACACGAAAGATTACACGGCGTCGAACACTAAATTACACCGGGATTTAAAGTTACATGGTTAAGAGCGACCTAGTACAACCAAGGTTTAGTCCAGAAGTCGGGATAGACGAGGGCAATGGAGAAACAACAAGATAATGATTATCCAAAACATGGCGTATAACCAACAGATCCAGAAACAGGAGACTAAGAAGTAAAACATCGTTAACCCTAAGACCAAACTAACCAACGGTAGACTTGAACTTCTTTGAAAACCAGATCCCTTCTTCTCAGATTACACCATCACCTCTGTCAGACGAACCTAGTTCCACAATGACGATGTGATCTCTTAGTTCTGCTTCGGATTTGAGAGGGACGAGGATGAAGGAGAAGAGGAAGGACCAAGGGCATCTTATAGTAGCGAACGTAGATAGGGCGCAGCGCACCTAAAGTGGAGACGGCATGGATGGGATACACTGTTGGTTCACGCTGTGGGGATACAGCCAGCCATGGCGTGCTTCCTGCGCAAGCGAGCGGAGGAGGGGATAAAGGAGAGAAGAGAGGGTTCGCTCGATGAGGAAGGCGTGCGGGTGGCCTTGTCCCCAAAAGAAGAAAGAAGGGAGGGGGTCTGGTACGGGGACAAGGGTGAGTATCAAAAGCGGACCGGAGGACAGGAAAAGTAGAGGCGCACAGTGCACGAGGACGGCGAGTGCGGCATGATGTCGTGGTCATGCGAGGACAAGGTGCTAACGGGCCCGACACCGACGGCGTCCACAGGGCACGCGGTGACAGTGACCCGACGTGCGTAGTGTGGTCGAGCTGGGCACAGTGCTTGGGACTTGACATCCACTCAGACTTTTCTAAGCTCTCTTTACTACCCAAGGCTAACTTTTCCTAGGTGTTCTTCTTTCCTTCCCTTTCTTGTCCACAATATGCGCCAACCTTTGTATGAAGTGAAATCACAACATCTTTTCAGAATTATCCGAACCATGAGGATGCTAGTGACCTCTGTTCAGGCATGGCTCTCTTTGCTTTGCTCTGTTGTCTATCTATACCACACCCTGATACCCACATCTTTTTTTACCTTTTTTCGGTAAAACTATACCGTACTCGAGTGTTTCTCGAGCGGTGAGCACTCGATTTTCTACGGG